AGTTCTTTCTTTTTTCACTTTGTTTTCTAGGAAAATAAATTATTTGTTGAATTCTAAAAGCTTATTTCTTTTCACACTTTTAGACTCCAACTCAACCTATGTATTATTTGAAAAAATGTTCTCGTCATTAGATGATATTGTTAATTGCTGGTTTCACAAAAGATTTCTCAATTGTGTGAAATTAAAATCACAAAGTCAATTTAAAAGACAAGTTTAATATATCTAACAAAAATGTTAAGAAAACTCAAACCCCGAGCGAGCCCCCAATTTCTGTTAGAAATTTTAGACTCCAATTATGTAATAGAAAGAAAGTGAAACCAACAATTTTAGATAAAATCAACAAGTTATTTTTGTCTTGATATTACTAGGTTAAAATTCAATAGACACTTACAGTATTGTGACTTTCATCCCAAATAATCACAAATGTTTTATCGCCAGTCCAAAAGTATAGAACGTTTTGAATAAATTCCAATAGTCTTGAATGTCTTATCTAGCACAATGAATCAATCCAGATTCCTCTTATTGAGTTTACAATAATTCTAAACTAATATGTCAATCCAAAGTCAATGAGTACTTAATAATTCCAATGAGTGGTTTAATTTATTTATTAATTCCAATGAATGATTAAATTAAATGATTCCTCTCGGATCACAGCACAACTGTAAAGGATTCCACTAATTAATTTTAAAACAAGAATGAATTATTTGTTTACCGATTCCCTATTTATATCCATTTTCACTTGAACTAGATTTGAGTCATTCTAATGGAAACTTCCAATCAACTTGTAAACATGTTTATATTTATAATATGTTGAAGTCAAAAACTGTCAACATCCTATTTAAAGCTAACGATCCGATACAAAAGTAGGCTATGTAAACATGTTGCTTACAAATATACATTATCATAAATTGCAATCTGTAATTACTTACACAAGTTACACACAACTTATATCAAATAAGCTGCAATAACAGTATTCCTTTTTGAGTTTTTATCTTTATAAAGATTTACTGATTACTTACCATACTATTATGATAGTGTTCGTTTACCAAGTCCTGAAAATGTCATTAACAACTGTTAACATTACGTGTCCAAATTTATTTAAAACAGAAGTGGAAAATTACTTTGTGATTCAATCTCTTTTAAATTATAAAACTTAATGTCAGGCCAAGACATTAAATTATGGTAATAGAGAGTGAAGAATACTTGAATAATATTCAAAAAATTATTTTAGCAATCTTGGCTATTTTGCTAGACAAATGTTCAGAAAATCTCTTAAAGGTCGAACATCATCCCTGAAATTCTGGAAATGAACTTTTACTTTTCTTATATTTTTAAATAGCATTTATAGCTGGGAATTTCAAATACTTTCAGCCTCTTTCTCCATCAATGTTTACACAATTTCTAACGTAATGTTTATTATTCCATTAAGCATATTTTTTTAAAAAAAATTGAATATCTCAAACGAACTAGTTCAATTTCCCAGTAACACTCTGTCAAAAAAGAAAAAGAAAAAAATTAAATTTAAGAATGTGTACATTTCTAATAAAGTATTTTTAAATGTAGGTACAATCAAAGCTAAGTTGAACACAAAAGTGAGTCGATGTGATGGTCAGAGAGCGGAACAAAGGGGCGAGATCTGGCGCTGTCAGATAAACTCATTTATAAGACAATAAAGCTCAGTCAGTCTATACTGAGGAGAGAGAGAGAGAGGTAGCAGCCTTTGAAGAGGACGGACGTGTTTACCAGGAGCTCCAGGAGAACAAAGGAACAAGGAAGAGAGGACAAAGGAAACAGAAGAAGAAAGAAGAAAAGAACAAAGGAACAGAAGAAGAAAGAAGAAAAGAAGAACAAAGGAACAGAAGAAGAAACAGACAAGAAGAAAATGGAAGAAAAGTAGACGCAAGTAATAATCAAATTTTTTTACACACGATAAATCGTAAAAGAAATGGCAAGCCGAAGAAAGAAGACCACAGAAAGAAGAAAGAAGATTGAGACAATCACTTCGCTGCTTTTTAACATCAGCGTAGTGAAATAGGGTTAGTCAAAATGCCTGACACAGAGCTCACTTTGGCAAGAGCTCTTTTTCGGTTAACAACTACTCCTTTGGCCCTTGAAGGGATGATTGGAGAAAAAAAAATGTATTATTCGCCGTCAAACCAAATTAAGATCACTGAAATGCACAAGGTAGCTTATACCTTCCAAATTTGACTCAATTTTTTGGAACTACAGGTACGCATAGTACACAAAAACATAATACTACTATTTAGTAGGAAATTTCACAATTCATATTCATTCGACTCGTATGTGGCTTACACATGTTTGGCTATGATAGGGGACTCCCACCCCCAATAGGCAACGGGCAGAAACAGGAACTTAACTTAGGGGGCGGAAGCCGCATCCATTGCCGACGCCGTCAACTCAAGGTAACCTGGGAGCCAACGATCAAGGATGAGGAAAGGCAGTAGGAAGCGCCCTGGGCCACATTAAATAATGTGAAAAGGTTACACTTTCAAAGCCAAAATATGTGGACCCAGGGTAAGACAGACATAAGGAAGAGGATCCCAACACACAAGAATAGAGGAATCAACTACGGTACCGCCCTTTGCTGGATCTTTTCCTTTGCCTTTTCTGAGCTCGGGGGTCGAGGCAGTGTGACTGTATCTATGACGATCGGTGACTGTATCAATGACGATCACAAGGTCTGTTTTAAGGTTGGCAGAAAAAAGGTCAAGCACAAGACCAAAAGCCCTGCCCGTGGGTTGAGTGCCTCCCTAGATTAGCAACATTATCGAAAAGATGATGTCCGGCTTAGGTGGTAAACCATCTAGGGGGGGGTATTATGCCCATGCGCCGGGGCACAAAAAGTGTCGAGCTCTGAGACACGGGTGAGCCCTGCCTCGGAAGGAGGGGAGGCCGCTAGCCCTTTTCAGGGCTTTAACCAGTCATAATACACGAGAGTGGAAACATGACTATAATAACAGACAGTGAGTGAGTCAGTCTATACTATCTCAAGACCCACATCGATGTCATCCTGTTGATTTTTCTAATCTCATGACCCATTTCAAATTCATCATTATATATGCAAATTTACAATATTTGATAGTAAAGACTACTGAAAAATTGTATTTGCCATATTCTTTTCAAATGTTTATAAATTTCTTTTCATTTTAGGAAAATACATATTTAATATTTTTTTCAATAGTATCAAACCACAATTTGAATGTTTTTAATATAAAAGTATAGAGAATCAGGGTCCTTCAAGCCACTTGCAATAAGCACAAATTTGTTGACTTTTTTAACTGTCCAGAAAGAGTAAGATGAGAGTCTGGCCATGAATATTGTTGGAAGTGATTGCATGACCATTCTTTCCCGTTGCTAATAGAATTAAGGTTCGCTCTTTACTATTTCTAAACACCGAAATATCAACTCTGTTGGTGCTCCAATTATATCCAGCCCAATATTCTTACTTTCTAGTCATAACTGTATTAAAATGGGACCCTAACAGAATAGTGTTAGATAAAGATTCCTTGTCAACATTCCGCCGAAAAATCTGCTAAAGGATAATTGGGTCCAAATATCACACACACACACACACACACACACACACACACACACACACACACACCAGTTCTACAATGTATTAGTCTTAATATTCAGAGAGATAGTAGGTGGGTGGCTTAAAATTTGGTAAATTACACCTCAATCATCAAATCTCCATACAAGAGGTTGCTTCTAACGTTTTAAACCATTGTGCACATCTGGAGACTCTTCTCCCATGTATTCTAATCATTCAGGTCAAGTTATTCTAATCATTCAGATTATGCTATTCTAATCATTCAGATCATGTTATTCTAATCATTCAGGTTATGCTATTCTAATCATTCAGGTTATGCTATTCTAATCATTCAGGTTATGCTATTCTAATCATTCAGGTTATGCTATTCTAATCATTCAAGTGATGCTATTCTAATCATTCAGGTTATGCTATTCTAATCATTCAGGTTATGCTATTCTAATCATTCAGGTTATGTTATTCTAATCATTCAGAATATGTTATTCTAATCATTCAGAATATGTTATTCTAATCATTCAGAATATGCTATTCTAATCATTCAGGTTATGCTATTCTAATCATTCAGGGTATGCTATTCTAATCATTCAGGTTATGCTATTCTAATCATTCAGAATATGCTATTCTAATCATTCAGAATATGCTATTCTAATCATTCAGGGTATGCTATTCTAATCATTCAGGTTATGCTATTCTAATCATTCAAGTGATGCTATTCTAATCATTCAGGTTATGCTATTCTAATCATTCAGGTTATGTTATTCTAATGTTTCATGTTATGCTATTCTAATCATTCAGATTAAGCTAGTCTAATCATTCAGGTTATGCTATTCTAATCATTCAGGTTATGCTACTCTAATCATTCAGGTTATGCTACTCAAATCATTCAGGTTATGCTACTCTAATCATTCGGGTTATGCTATTCAAAGATTAAAAGGACAAAAGATAAAACGTGATGACGACGTTCATCCATAGGAGGATGATTTATTTGATTAGAATGCATGGCTGTAATATTCCTCAGGTCTTGAATCTGCCTGACAGACAAGACGAAGGTAGAATATAGACAAAAATTTAATCTATTACTCGCCATTCGCATCGCTAATCACATGAATTCCCCAAACCGCCAAACCCATGTCATACCAAAAAAAAAAAATTAAAGGAACGCTACTTAATGTTTGATAAAAAGAAAGAACACATACTTCTCAACATATTTACTCGAACATGAAAACGTAACCTTAACAAGTCCTATCCGTACGATGTCTGCAGTGTGACAGTTTGTAGTGATTTCTAGCACTGGGGCATCATGCCGCAAACATGTTGCATGATGTCTCACCCAGACACATAATAATGACACCAGGTCAACTAGTCGTAATACTAACCTCTTAATGCTGAGCGCCAAGCGAGACAGCTGTTATTACCATTGTTTAACGTCTTTGGTGTGACTCAGCCGGCGTTCGAACCCACGACCTACTGCATATGATGCAAACGCTCTAACCACTAGGCCACCAGAGAGGTAGACATAATATGAAAGAGAGGAACGGGTAGATAGGAACGAAAATATTTTTTTTAAGTTTCCGGATCGAGTTTAGTTCGAGAAAAATATATCCTTACTATGATTTGTAGAAAGTAATAAGCATATTATATCAACTATATAGTGGCAAGAATATATATATATATATATATATATATATATATATATATATATATATATATATATATATATATATATATATATATATATATATATATACGCTGTATCAATCAAACATCATATATATATATATATATATATATATATATATATATATATATATATATATATATATATATATATATATATATATATAATTTCTTTAAAAGGAAAATAGGCTTTCCGAGTACTTTTAATGAAAACAATTATACTTCGAGTGGCATGTCATTCATACAGCGTACACTTGTTATACATATATTTTATTTATATCACATACAAATACACTTATTTGCCCTTCAGAAGGAGTTAAGACTGACTACAGGCAAACTCTATTGACCGAGAGAATACACAATGGGTATTATTGATACTTTATATCGTAGTTTTCATACATCACTATTGATTAAAGAGTGGAAATTCAGCATTGATCTGTAGACCTAGAATACACAGCACCAATGTGCAAAGATGTTGATATATATATATATATATATATATATATATATATATATATATATATATATATATATATATATATATATATATATATATATATATATATATATTATTGCGCCATGGGCGGATCAGAGTTTCATAAACCAATAGTACTGTTATTTCATCTACGTAAGCTTGAGTTTTCGTGCTTTCCTTATGAAATAACATTGTCAATGGTGAAGGGCTAAAAGAAACAACAGGTGGTTGAATAGTTCTGTGGATACAAATGACTTTTGAGGTTAATTACCACTCTATGGTCTTAAAACAGGTAACAGAAAAAAGTGCGAAACAACAAAGTTGATAAATTCAACAAATAGTTTATTGTCCCTAAAATATAAAGTGAAAATGTATAAAGAGCGTACGGCACTGCGAATAATCCAAGAACTACCAACAAAGTCTTAATGAATAAAACTCCGTATAAACTTTATTCGAAATAACTTTTAACACTGAAGGTGTTTATGTACCAGTAATTATCCGTAGTCTTTTATATACTAATGTAACATTGTCATGACTTATAATGACGTGGTGTCGTTTTTTGAATCACAATAACACAACCCTATGTTTCCTTGTTTGAATTCACTTATTCCAGATTAATGTCTCTTTCCAAAAATATTATACAACACTTTGTATATCCAGAGAATACTAAATAATTTCACCCAAATCAAAATCGGAATACAGCAATGTAAATTATTTCTGCCCAGATGATATAGTAGGAATAAAAAATATTTCCAGCAAACACAATTATGTATATCTAAAAAAAAAAACATAAGACAGAAAAGAACAGCTGGATTGTGAGACAACAGTGTATTCCAGAACGATCCAAGCTATGAATAGACAATGTCTATTACTAAAACTATACTTAAGAAAATGACAAACATAATGTCTTTTACGCAGAGTAAAATAATAGTCTTAATAGTTACCCTACACTTGCAGAGAAATACAAACTCTTTATTGTTTACAGAATTAAAAACAAACTCAATGATTCTGGTCAGGTAGATTTCCGACCAGGGCAGCTACAAGGCATACCCAACACCATATTTTTTTAAGAAAATAAAACCAAGCAATACAGACTAACTACACATAACAAGGTGATCTCAAAATCTAAAACCAACTTAAAATCTGCAGTCTTCAAACCCTTTTTTATTTTTTTCTCTATCTGGTAATGACATTCTTTTTAAATTACTTAAACAGACGAAAGGTACCTACATATAAACTATATTCCATTCATATCATTGGTTGTTTGTGTCCGAATTGTGTTGCATGGGAGAGCAATCATACCGATAATTCGTTTGCTGAATTTGAGAGTTATTTCCCTTGAAACATAAAACTATCACAATTAAAAGATAATGTACATGTGCCCATTCTAAATGGCACGATTTTTTTTTTTAAATCAGACAAAATATGTCTCTAGAATTAAGATATGACAACCAGTTTTTTCTTTTTAAAAATAATGGAAAATTAAGCCCATAAATCAAGGAGATCCAATCTCACTTGCATAACAGGTAATTCATGAAGAGTTATTGTTCAAATGTCAGTCTATGTTAGTAACAACGACGGACATATTTCATAGCAGTTATGCATCGTTTGTATAAAATTGAAAAGCCTTAGTGCAAAATTATCAAATTTTGTTATATTAAACAGCTTTTTCCGAGTTTAAAGTTTATTTCTGCTGGGGGGTTGGGGTGGAGGGGTGGGGTTCAGTACCAGCAGTCAGTATATCAATTTGGCATCATTAATAGAAATTTGAAACAAATTCTGCTAGTAGGATTTTGTTCCAAATTTAATTGTTAAGCAAATTTTGAGAAGCAAATTAGAGTTTGCTGAATTTTTAGCAATGGTTTATTATTTTTTAAACAAAAATTTGATGGCAGAAAAAATTGGTGAAAGTTTGGCATCATTTGTAAGTTTAAAATGTCTTCAAGTACTGTTGCTTTCAGAAACATTAGGTCAAATTTTGTTCAGCAGTTTTCAAGTAAAGGTACCCTTCAGATTTGTGCCATTTTCAGTATCTTTGGCCACATTTGATATTGTACAAAAGGTAAAGGCTTTCATACCAACACTCACTCTACAAGACTCAATTAATACGGATTTACTTATTTCTGAGAAATTAAATTTACTTTTACCTATGCTTTTCATAAGAATCAACAAAATATGCAAGGATATGAAAATGTCATTGTACCACAGGTAGACAGCAAAGCTCAATCATCTATCAAAACATTCTGGATTTTGTCAATAGTTATAATTATTCACATCTTTCTTTTAAAAGTTAAAGAAAAACATTTATATTGAAAGATTCTGATGATGAAGATGATGATTAGGTCAATAAATTCATTTTCAGTTTAGAACTGATTTCACCTGTTTATTAAGAGCTGCAAAACTAGACAAAAACATTGGCTGTACACACTGGTGTACATTTTATACTTACCATTTCTTGCAGCTGTGGAACTACTGTCAGTTGAAGGGTTCTTTTGTTGACATGAATATATTATGCAACCAGATCAAATCTTATGTTTGGTGGCTTGTAATTCCACATGGAATAACACAACCATATGAGCTGTCATATTTTTCATTTTGTGCTATACAGGACTATTAAAATTACCTGTGTCTAGTGTAGTGTCTGGTGTACTGTAGCAGATTTGTTCTGGAAATAAGTGCATGCAGCAAAATTGCACATTGTAATCAACAGTCAACATCAGACCTACATACTGTCCATCAGTATCAGCATATATGAGTGTCGATTTATATCCGACTAGATGCTGATGTGATCATTGTTGCAGGTGGTTGTAGCAGTAGTATTCTGTACCATTATAGTGGATATCGATTCAGCATTGACATTCCAAGTTGTAATATCCACCAGTACTACACATTATTATTATATTTATTATAATTCTTAATTTCTTCGTTATAGTGGCTGCATAACCAAGTAATAGAAAGCAACAAGTAGTTATGGACTTCTTGGACATATGTAGACTTTCTGAAGATTCTAATGAATCTACCAAATTATCTACAGCATTCAATCCATGGATGTTTACACAAACATGAAGACCCATGACAATGAAAGAACAGATACAACCATGGTGTAGGGGCATGGTAAAAATTCCCTTGTACTGTAGTGCAGTGTACATAGATGCTTTCATTTAAATATATCTCTTCTTTAATCAAGGCAAAACTGTGTAATTGCAAATATCACAAAAAATTATGTACAGTCATACTTCAGGTTTGCCAGAAATATATATTACTGCATTAAATAAAATGAAGGTCACTCAGAGAAACTTACACTCCTTTGGTCAATAAAGAATTTCCAGTAATTCAAGACCAGACCATTTCTTACTTTTGATTGCCAAGGGTTCAAACTATTCAACCATAAAATGTTCAAATTAGCCACTGTGGACATCAGATTGGCACCATATCAAGACAAAATTTCAGACCAACAAGATACCTTGCAATGTCTTCCGATTTTAACATCATATTAAAAAGACTTTCCATTATGATGAAGTTTGCAATAACAAGATTTTCTAGATTGTTGCCATGGTCACCACACTGAATATCACACTTCCATATTGGACCATCTAGGCTTCACTAGTCCTTTGGTGAACACAATAATATTACCAGCCACGACAAGAACGCCAACATGGTAGCCACATTTAAAGTCTGATCAGAATCACTTCCATGTGTGTGTGTGCTCATATACTTAAGTTTAAATGTAGCTTTAAATATTTTTCACTCAAATAGCTATGTCTGCAAGTGTGGCAGTTTATGGTAACATATAGCACTGGGGCATCATGCAGCAGGCATGAAGCATGTTGTCTCACCCTCACATTATCCTGATATGTACCACACTGACCAGCTCCAACACTAACTAGAGTACCACACAAGCAAGCCATTTTTACCATTTTGTCTTTGGTATGACTTAGCCAGGTTTCACACCTGCTACCATTATTCCATGTGTTAAGAACCCAATATTACACAAAGCTTTTTCAATAAAATCCCATGCCACTATGATCATTCCCTCAGAAGCAACATTTCCAAGATGACCAATGTGGCAGCGATGTAATGCCTGAGCAGCACCATTTTTTTTATTTAGGATGGACTTTTTGCAATAAAATAAAAAATAAGTGGACAATAATATTTAGGAGTAGCAGCAATTACAAGATTTTCAAGATTTCACAAGGGCCATCTAAAAGAATCTTTGATAAAAACACTATGTCAATGTTGCTTCTCCTTCTGAACAAATAAGATTTTCAAGATGACCACTGTGGAGGCCATGTTGAACATCTCATCAGCAGTTTTAATTTATGCCCAACTATACAGCACAAAATGTCTTTAATGGGGG